TATTAAGGAATTGAGAAGCCAAAAAACTGTGCAACGAATTTAAAATAGTTCTTTTTTTGCATTTCTCAACTGCAACGACAGCCATCACAAATAGAACACTGTTCAATGGATTTGTGACAGGCCACAGTTTGGTAGACTCTGACTACATTGACTTTCTTTCTTGTCAGGTTGATAAGCTTGTTATCAGTAATTCAGGRCCCAGAACAGTTCTAGAAGAAAAGCCCAAATCAGATGATTCAGGGTGGGAGGAAAACTCCCCTGYTATTAACTCCAAGGATACAGATACAGGCTCAGGTGGGTGCTCTATTCTTGGGTTGCAACCCCCGAACTGAAAATTTATTATTCGTTATTTTCAAAAACCAAGTAGCAAGTCATAAAGAGCATAGTCAAATTATCTAGAATACGAGCTTTTAGTGCTGTAGCTTACTTTTCGGTGAAGATATAAGCGAATAAAGATTTGAAAAATTTGGTTAATATGTATGGGAACGCCATCTTGGATGATAACTTTGATCATCCAAGATGGCGTCTGATTTCAAATTAACAATAAAAACTGGTTTCCTTTGTAAATTTTGGTCAATTATGACTTTATTTCAAAGAAAAATCACCTTAAGTAAGTTCTTACGGAGTTGAAAGAATGATTTATCTAATCTCGAAGTTTTTATTTACGATCTACGGTAGAATAAATTAAACTCCGCNGTATACACACTATTTAGACGTATATTTAAGATATACTGTAAGAAGATCTCTTTAGAAAAAATATCTTGGATTTTTCGATATTTTTTGCTTGAGTATGACGTCACATGCAACCCAAGAATATGTGGTGTGAAGATAGCCATATGGAAGAACAAATGTTTACACAGATTGACGGACAGACAGACAGAAAGATGCAGACATAAAAAGAATGAAAATGGGAAGTCCATTTCACTTATAAGGACACATATACACCTAATTGAAAAAACATAGTCGTGTTCGAAAAAGTCACATCATAGAATTAGCTAAGACCGAAAGGGATTTTGAGTACCACTAAATTGGGATTACATTTGCATATATGGTGTACACTAAGCAAGTAGAGCTAGTAAGATTAACAGCATGATAGTCTTTTATGCTGGAGAGCTGTTTGTTATGAAATTAGCCAAATTGTTTGTCTTCCCAAGTACCCTTTCAGTCTTAGCTCTTATGATTTGACCTTTTTGGAGCTGACAACGTTTCTTCAATTAGGTGTATAATGTAGAATAAAATAAAATATGCTATATTGAGGTCTATTAGATCTATGATTGGTGTTCTGAAATGAAATTATTTTTCTCCAGATCAACTAGCTGAATCATCATTGATAACTAAATTACTAAGAAATAAGTTAGTTACAACGAAACATGAAGTAGAAGTTATGAGAAGTGATCCAAACTCGCCGCTGTATTCAGTGAAATCATTCGAAGAGCTACCACTGTATGTATAAAATCAATAGTCTCCTTCACGGTTCCCTGCACCATCTTGAAAGGTAACCATGCCTTTGCATCGAAGTGAGACCACTGTTGAGCGTGCAATGATAGAAACCTTCTTTCACACCTACAGACAATTATTTACAGGTTTCTATCATTGCACGCTCAACGGTTGCCTCGCTTCGATGCAAAGGCACGGCTACCTTTCAAGATGGCGCAGGTAACCGTGAAGGAGACTATTGGTCATTGTATTTTTTCATCCTAAATCTCACTTCATTACTCTTGCCTTGCCTTGCCTTGCCTTCCCTTGCCTTCCTCGGTCTTGCCTTGCCATCTTTTGCCTTCCCTTCCTTTCTCTTCTCTTTTGTTTCTCTTTACCTTCTTAATTGACTGATCCTTTTTCCTCAGCTCTGCTGATCTCAAGAAAGGTGTATATGAAATGGGTTTCAATAAGCCATCAAAGATCCAGGAGACCGCTCTACCCTTACTACTGGCCGATCCGTAAGTCTGATCATTTCTGCTACATGTGTATTTTGATATGTTAGTAATACTTGGRCATTGTGTCACTATAAATTTCTTCATAAAAGAAATACATGATTTGTTAAATGTTATCCAGAAGTTTATGTTATCAATCTAAGTATCATCCAACAATTTATTATATCATGTCAAGTGCCATCCAAAAATTTATGATATCATGCTAAGTTTYATCCAATAATTTAAGTTATCATGCTACGTGCCATCCAATAATTTAGATTAAACATATTTGATAAATAACCTGTATTATTTGGCAGAGTTGTCTAGTTGTGGCTTCTCTGTTATTACTGCAGGGAGACACAATGAAGAGGTTTTTTGTGCTGTACTTCCTTACATGAAGATGTAGCCCTTTGCCTCTCCTATAGTGCCTTGCAAAATTAGAATGACATGATGGTGTAATCAGCTACAAAGGGACTAGAACTGTTATGTTAATGTTGTGTTTTATATCACTTAGACCAAATAACATGATAGCACAGTCACAGTCAGGGACAGGCAAAACAGCTGCATTTGTGTTGACCATGTTAAGTAGGGTTGATGCTACCAAAGACTACCCACAGGTAAAAAAAACAAAACAATAAAAACAAACACATTGACAACAACAACAGCTACAACAACAAACATATTAACAACAACAATAACAACARCAGCTGCAGCAACAACAATAAACATATTACCAACAACAGCAACAGCAGCACAACAACAACAACAGCAGCAACAACAAACATACATGTAAAAACAAACACATTAACAACAACAACAACGTCAGCAACAACAACAAACACATTAACAACAACAACAAACACATAAACAACAACAATAAACACATAAACAACAACAACAAACACATAAACAACAACAACAAACACATAAACAACAACAATAAACATAAACACATAAACAACAACAAGCACATAAGCAGCAACGACAGTAACCACAACAACAGCAGGAACGAGAATAACAGCAGCAAACCATTAACAATGACCATAAATAATGGCATAGTTTCAATTCAGCATATTTTGTTGCTTATGCATCTCTTGTTAGTGAAAAACACACATTACGGTATTCTTTTCTTCAGGTGTTATGCTTGTCTCCAACGTTTGAGTTAGCCATGCAAACTGGCAAAGTTGCTGAACAAATGGGAAAGCATTGTCCACATATAAGAATTACATATGCTGTTAGAGGGCATCAGTGTAAGTTGGATACATGTATGATGATGATGGTGACGATGATGACAATACTCAAGTTTCGAATTCTCTTTTGTGCAAGCTACATGTAAGCTTCAATCAAGCGTACATGTAAATGTTTATTGCCTTCTTTGTACACAGAGTGTTTGCATTACAATAGATTCTCTGCTGAATGAAAGATATATCAGATATATTACATGCTTTAGAGGTTAAGGCTGCATAAATAAGATCTGGAAACTGGAGTATTATGATGATGATGATGGTGATGATGGTAGGCCTTGTTCATGGAGGTCCTGCTCAAACAGCTCTATACACCCTTTTAATAAGTCCCGAGGTATTGTATTCTCCGCACATGACGTCAAATTTATTCTTTTGAATTCCTTTTGTATTGTAAAAATTTCAAAAGAATAAATTTGACGTCAAGTGCGGAGAATTCAATACCTCGGGACTTATTAAAAGGGTGTATAGCCACATCTTTTTGTAATGTCTATGTGTGTTCCCATTCTAGTGATGAGAGGACAGAGGTGCACAGATCATATTATCATYGGTACACCAGGAACTTTACTAGACTGGATAAGAAAATTAAGAGCCTTTGACCCSAAAAAGATCAACGTATTTGTCCTTGATGAAGCTGATATAATGATTGCAATGCAAGGACATCAAGACCAGTCCATCAGAGTGCAAAAGTATGTGAAAAATCAGGTTATTATACAGGAAAAACTCTACTTATACGAATTATTATACAGGGCTTGAAATAAGGCCGGTCAAAGGACAATCAAAGGACAATGTCCTTCCAAATTCGCTAGATGACCGGCCAAATCGGGTTTGGAAAGGACAAATTGACCTGACACATTTTGAGACAAATTAATTCTCAATTTGCTAAATAAATCTTTTACAAGCCATTAAAATGCTTGCCGAACTTTCTGAATACAAAAACCTATAAATTAAAAGAAAATAATAGTATAATAAAGTTTTTGTCCTTTCAAAACTTGACTTGAATTTGGAAAGACATCTCGTCCTGCATATGTCTAGACATTATTTTGAACCCTGTTATATAAACTTAAAAAGTTAGTTTGTCCTTTGCATATAGAGTCATGCGCTCATTATTATTTATTTCCAGTAGTTTCATATTAAGACATTATTATGCTCCTTAATTTTTTTCAGTTCTGTTAGTTTCAAATTAGARTGATGCAGTGATACCAAGTTACTGATGACTAACTCATTAGAAAGCACCTCATTTTTATGTCTTTCTTTTCAGAACATTACCTAAACAATGCCAGACTTTACTMTTCTCAGCAACGTACGATGACGAAGTGATGGCCTTTGCTAAGTCAGTAGTTTCAAACCCCATAGAAATACGATTACGACGAGAAGAGGAGAGCTTAGACAACATCAAACAGTACTAYGTGATGTGCAAGAATGCTAATGACAAGTTCGAAGCCATTTGTAATCTATATGGTGTTCTAAGTATTGGCCAGTGTATCGTATTCTGCATGGTAAGTTGATGAGTTACCCCTGTCGGTCATTGTATTGTATTTGGCATGGTAAGTTGATGGGTTGCCTGTGTTGGCCAGAGTATCATATTCTATGGTATTCTGCATAGTGCAGTAAGTTGAGGATGGGATGCCTGTGTTGGTCATTGAGTTGTATGTAGCATTGTAAGTTGAGGATGGGTCGCCTGTGTTAGTCATTGAATTGTATTTGGCATAGGCCTTTTCTGAGATAGAAGTTTGATGGGTCGCCTGTGTTAGTCATTGAATTGTATTTGGCATAGGCCTTTTCTGAGATAGAAGTTTCCATTGCAATGTGGTCTAGATTTGATACAAACATCTTTTGTTTGTGCTGTCAAATATGGCATTGTTTATACTGAATCTAGACCACAATTCACAATGATTTTGTAATTCAGAAAAGGTCTATGGTAAGTTGAGGATGGGTCGCTTGTGTTGGTCATTGTATTCTACATRTGTAATGTTGGGTTGCCTGTGTTTTTAAAATTTTATGCACCCCTCCCCCTATCATCCCAACTTTTGTTTTCTCATTGCTGAAGATAGAGGAACAAAGAAAGCAAATTGCYTTTTTGAAGGGCACAATGTGGCTAATAAGACCCACTATAACTAATTCCCATTCTACAATCTTCAGACAAGAAGGAGTGCTTCATGGCTAGCTGAGAAAATGGTGAAATGTGGTCACCCTGTGGCAATGCTAAGTGGTGAAATCACAATAGAACAGAGACTTGCTGTTATCAACAGATTCCGAGAAGGAAAGGAGAAGTTACTCATCACCACAAATGTCTCTGCCCGAGGTATTGACATYGAACAGGTCACCCTTGTTGTCAACTACGACATGCCCATAGATCCCCAAGGAAGACCTGATTTTGAAACCTATCTACACCGAATTGGYCGCACGGGACGCTTTGGAAAGTCAGGCGTTGCTGTGAATTTTATCGATGGAGAAAGATCGTTGAATGTTATGAAAAAGATTGAAGAACACTTTGGSCGTAAGATTCATCATTTAGATGCTGATGATGTAGACGAATTGGAGAAGATTAACTGACTTTGTTTCATGTAGATTCTTTACTCAAAAAMGACAATGTTGTCTCATGATACMRCTACCAAAATGCTTTGCACATTTGTTTATCGTTTCCCATTGCTTTGAAATAATGGAGTGGTTTGAATAAACCCAAGAACAGAATTTTTTTATGTACTAAGGTGAAGTGAAAAAAGAAAAAAATGAAATAGATATTACACTTATACACCTTGGAGTATTTTGGTAGTTGTTTATTGTTTATGTAGTCAAATTTGTCCAAATTTCTTATTTTCACCAAACAAGCAAATCCAGAGAATGTACATTTACTAGACTAAAATATTGTATGAACTACATGTAATGAAAAAAACGTTTTACAAAGATTAATTTGTACAGCACATGTATTACAGATTTTCAGTCAATATATCTTGGCACCCATGTTGGTATATGACCACACTAGATCATGTAAATTATAGAGTGAAGTCAAAAAACAGCAACAGTGAAATAGAAGTTACAATAATACACCCCAGTACRCTCCAATTGCATTGTTTTTTTGTGTCTATGTGACTATCAAGCTTCAAAAGTCAAAATTTTGTTTCACAGGTTTGATGACTTAACTCTACTCTATATATGGCACAAAGATAAACAAATAAGATAAAACTTAATACTAAGTTATTACACCAATGAAGTGGAATGATACTAGTATCTGGCACATACACTGTACCACCAATATGGCTGCCATTTTTAACTAAACTTCTAGTATGTACAGAACATTCAAGCACTTTCAATTAATAATTTTCTTTGGGGGGTAAATTCATATTATCATAAAAGTATTTCAAATGTTCTAAAATTGATGTATATTTAGTTGTGATTTTTAAGAATAGTTTTTTTTTAAAGAGAAATCAACTTTGTTACAGTTAAGATTATCATTAAATCAAGCAAGTAATAACACAATACGTTTTGTAAGTTTATTAATACTAGAGATATTATGCTTGGATGGGACTTAAGTTCTATTTAAACAACATAGTAGTTGAATCAAAGCCATTATACTGTAATTGGTGTTGTGGAAACTGGATGCTCCGAAAAATCAATGGTCGCCTGAGAACGCGGCTGGGTCTTCACCTCTGTCTGAACAAATTCAACGATTGGCTGTGTCTTTCTTAAAAAAAACAATGACACTTTTTGTCTTCTTTGCTTTTGATTTGAACAAGCCTTTCATTGGATTACATCTTCTTAGAGTTAAAAGCCTACCTGAGAACACAGTTTTTAGGAACATTTCCAGTTTCCAAGGGTAACAATCAGAGCAAAATGTCCATGGCAAGATTTGAACTGATCTATCTTTTTTATAGTTCAACAAAAAAAAATTCAGAAGGGATGGGCTCTATTATGCACTGATAGAAACAAGTGGCAGGCACTATTGCATCACATGGGTGACTTTCGACCAATGAGAACACAAGAATTTTTTTTGTATTATATAGTATAATATATTAATTATTAATATAGMAGCTATTAGAACTATTGCACTTTATGCTGTATTTTCCGTTCGTTCTTCGCRTTCATCCCTGAATACCAYAGAGAAAACAGCAACACTGCATGACACGCATGAAGAGTAGATGACGATARTTCTGTAGARGGATAGGTATTCCAACACATCTCTAGTAATCCCAATATAAGAATTCTGTAAA